TACTCCATTGCCATGCCTGCCTGTCCACAGCCATGCTTCCCACCATCATAGTCATGGACTTTACTACCCTCTGGAATGGTGAGCCCGAAACTAAATGCTTTCTTTTATAAGTTGCCTTGGCCATGGAGTCCCTTCACATTAATAGAAAAGAAACTACCACACTCCCCATCTCAGCTGTAAACATTTGGAAGCTGTATACTAATTCCGTAGGATGTAGAGTCAGCACTCTGTGGGGTACTTGCCTATCAATGGGATAAAGCTTGGGGAAACTGTCGGGAACACTCCTAATTTTGACTTGTAGTTATTGTGATCTCCTTACTTCAAGTTATCATTTTGCAAAACTTTTCCCTCCTCTCCTTTTCTATTCTTAAACGGGGGTTTGTATAGCCTTGGCTGGTTCTGAATTCTGCCTGAGTGAATGAGCATTAGATATGGATTAATTCCCTGAATAAACTATTATGTTGTACTACTGGAATTTTCCAGATGTATGCTAAACAGGAATAGATTCTGTTTTAGGTCAGAAGAGAGTCTCTTTAGAAAATCAGCGACTTGTTCTAGCTACCCTAGGGGCCTCCGATCTTAACACAGTTTGCTTCTTTTTTTTTTTTTTTTTTTTTTTTTTTTTTTGGTTTTTACGAGACAGGGTTTCTCTGTATTGTTTCGGAGGCTATCGGCCCAGCCCGGCCTCGAACTCACAGAGATCCGCCTGCCTCTGCCTCCCGAGTGCTGGGATTAAAGGCGTGCGCCACCACCGCCTGGCCCCACAGTTTGCTTCTAAATGTAGTGTAGATGTAGATTATAAATCGTTGCCCTGAGAACATACACTGTTCACATTTCAAGAAAAAAACTGGATTATTTCTATAATGTGTAATTTATACATGCTTATTAATTGTCTGAAACACAGTTACATATTTTAAATTTTAGTATTGCAGAGTCTTTGTGCTTTCCAAATTAGAAATTTAGGACTATCTTACCTGACTTGAAAAAAGGTATTTTTGCTGGATGGTGGTGGCACATGCCTTTAATCCCAGAAGGTGGATCTCTGTGAGTTGGAGGCTAACCTGGTCTACAGGGTGAGTCCAGGACAGCCAAGGCCAGAGGAACCCTCTCTTGAACCCACTCTCCCTCTGTCCCCCAAAAGAAAGAAAATACTGCTTGTGAAGTCAGCACACTGTTAGGGAATGAGACTGCAACAAGTGATGGGAAACAGACTTTACTGTTAAGCTCCCACTCCAGTAGTGAAGACAGTGACATGTTACACACTGTCACAGCACGATAAGAGTACTGTGATGGGCGGACATTGGCTGTCTAAGTAAGAGTTCACTCTGGTTGGCAAGGAGGTGTTGTATTTGAGAAGGGCCAGGGGAGCTGACTGGCTAGGGCAGGTATTTACTATGTGAGATGAGAAGTAGAGGTTAGAGACTAGTTTGGAAACATTCATGGCATCTGGTCCAATATTTGATATAAATTCCTTTTGAATGTATATGTCTTAGGTGCTATCAAATTTACCTTTAATGATGAGTAACGATTTTGTTAAGTATTCAGGTTGGAATTATTGATATTGTAGCATACATACACACACACACACACACACACACCTATGTATTAGCATATTAGCATTTTAGTGCTCATATTTGAACCCAGGGCCTTGAGTATGCTAGGCAAACACCCTATGACTGAGCTACAGCTTCAGACTGATAAGAGAAATTTTTGATAATACTATGCTCAACTTTCCTTTATACCCAGGCAGCGTTATATTTCACCCGAGATACATAACATTGGGTTATTGTATAGTTTTCATTGCCCTTTAAGCCAGTAGTTTCCAAGTAAGGTGATGACACATGCCTTTAGTCCCAGCACTTGGGAGACAGAGGCAGAGAGGCAGGAAGGTCTCTGTGAGTTTGAGGGCGGCCTGGTCTACAGAGCAAGTGCCAGGACAGGCTCCGAAGCTACACAGAGAAACGCTGTCTCGGGGAAAAAAAAAAATTGGACTCCCTCCTACCTCAACTTTGAGTTCAGTAGGGCCTAGGTTAGCTGGGATTTTCTCCTGTAGAAGCCTGGCATGAAGAGAATATTCTACATGCTATCATCGACTTTTACAGTAATTCGGTAAAAATGGAATAGGGTCGTGTGTAGCTTAGCAGTAACAAGCCTGTGGAATTGGAACACCCTGAGAACCGCATAGAAGGGAGTCCAATGTAGTATATTTTATAATATACTAGTTACTGCATGCATGGATTTTTTAATTTAAATGTACCTGAAGTCAAAGCAGAGTGTACAGTTACAAGTCTTTCAGAACAAGGGAGCCACAAAGAAGTGACCTCTATGCTGACGATGCTGTGAAGGTGCTGATGGTTTCAGTCAGTATATTAGCTCTGTATGTAGGCTCAATTCTGACTAGGGGTAAGTGTTGCTTGAATTCATAGCATAGTTGAGTTATCAGATATGTGCTATTAATAACAGGGAAATTATAAAGAACTCAATATAGTTATTAATGACCAATCTTACCACATATTAAGGTAATCAAGACCAATAATCTCTGTAGTATTAGACTGTCATAGAGACTGTGTCTGTCAGGTGTGTGACAATTCTGGAACTCTTCTGATTGTGTGTATTGATACACCTAGGAACTGCTTTCCAGGAGCCATATAGATGGAGATGTTTTACTTTCTTCTTTCTGTTAATAAATGTGTGCCTTTTATGTTCCAAATATTACTTTGAGAGCAGGTGTAACTACTAGGTAGTAGTGACACAAAGAATAGATACTTATAAGTACTTGATATGTGATTAGATAAAAAGCAAATATGTAAATGTTTTGCCTTTTAAAATAAAAGCAGTTTAGAGAAGAAAGCTGAGAAAAAGTGTAATTGTACCCTGGGTGTTTGATCAGTGACTGTGCAAACAAACTATACATTATCTGAAAAATAAACCAAAAGACTCATGATGGGCACAGCATCTAAAGTGTTTTCCTAGGACCAGGGAACCTAGTTCTCTGATGCTGCTGCTGAGAACCAGCTCTCAGCAGGTCAGGAACTGAAGAGGAGGTGCAGAGTCAGCGGCTAGTCACACAATTGGCTTTTTTCTCTGAGAGAGCAAAACTTAATTCTCTGAGGCCAGTAAAAAGGGGAACATGTGCTCTCTCTCACACACACACTCACTCACTCCTCTCCAGCATGTCAGGGTCTCTCTTTTTCCCTTACCTCTTTCCTGATGTTTTTCATCTACATACAACTGCCTACACACACAGGTGACTTTTCTGAGGGTGAAAGCTCAGTTCTTTATTTTATTTTTCTTTCTGTTGCTTTTCTACTCTACTCTTCCTATGTTCTTCTACCTGGATGTTTCCCTTCTTCTTCCCAGCCTTTCTCCTTCTGTATCTTTCCTTCTTCCTTTTGTATTTTGCCCCTACAGTTTATATACCCCAGCAAAAATTTTCAAACAATATAAAAACTACAGTGTGGGTATAGTCTATTTTTCTCAAGTGAATGATTACAATGAATACAAGTATAAAAACAGCACGTTTCTCATTTCCCTTACATGATTAAACATTTTATGTAGTACAGGTGAAAAACAACTTATTCACAAAGACACACATACATTCATGTGTAAGCAACTTGTTATAGATTAACAGAGTATAAGCAAACAAGATGTTTTTCTCAGCCAGTTCTTTTGCTGGCAGACTGCATTTGTGGTTACAAGGAAAGGATCAATTATTTTATTTTTTAAATTATTTTATTATTTATCTCAAAAGGAAATCTTTTTTTAAAAAAAATCTTAAAAGAATCACAAACCACCTGCCATTGGTGGCACACACCTTTAATCCCAGCACGCGGGAGTCAGAGGCAGGCAGATGGCTGTGAGTTTGAGACCAGCCAGGACAGTTCCCAAAGCCACAGAGAAACCCTGCTTCGAAAAACATGAAGAAAAAAAAAAAAGAATCACAAATCTAAATTTTTATACATGAAAAACAATCGGTCATTTCTACTTTAAATCCTCAGGGTTACACACAATCATCAACAGTTTTTTATTATTACTACATCAGGAAGCTGGGGACAGAAATGGGTACAAGGAATTAATCACTCCCTTTGATCACCAACCCATCTTTAGCAAGAAAGGCACATCAGATATTAATAACTGGGCTACCTTTGTTCTTGTTCCTTGACCATAACAGGTCCCTTGCTCAAATATTAAAAGTGTGCCTTTCTTAACTTTAAATTGTTCCCCAAGATTTTCTACATCAAAGCCATCAACAAAAACATCTTAACCTAACTTTACTAACAATCTACATGTCTAAATTCTTTCTGAGGGTGGTGGTTGAATCATTAATCTTCTCCAGCAGCAATGCTTGGAAAAAGCCGATCGCTATTATTCTGAGTACCAGTAACACTACCCAGTGAGGGACTAGAAACCTCCTGAGAGTTTTCATACAACCCATGAGAGACGTGGTGACCTCAAAGGCAATAAGCAGAGCTATGCTCAATAACAGTGTGAAATCCTCATGTTACCTAGTCCTTGGGGCTCTGTCTCTGCAAGGCTCACCCAGTGTGATTATGCTGACAGGTCATACTCCATGGTTCCAATGCTGTTTGCTGTTCCTCTCTCATGGCCTCCAACACTACCCTCTTTGTTCTATGGAAGCCTTGTGTTGGGTCTAGGGAACCCTTCTCCTTAGATAAACCCTACCACCATACTGAAAGTAGGTCCTGCAAAGGTAGACTAACTAGAAAGCCATAGGAATGCCTACCCTGGAAGCTGCAAATGTCATGTTGATATTTTAAAAGTTGTGTAAAAAAAATAAAAGGACAAATTTATTCTGTATCTGTCAAGTCAGAGGAGTTGAAGTGACAAGAAATAACCTTAGAATCTAGAAAAGCAAGGTCTTTATCAGTAAAACTCTGCATGAAGTTTTTCAAGCACTGGAAATGTAAAAGCAACAGAGGGTATAAGCTTTTTTTTTTTTTTTGCAGGTAGTGTGTGTAATAATTCTTCCAGAATAAGTCTCCATGGCAAGTGACACACCAGTGTAATCATGAATGCTGGGCATGCTCAGTGCATCTCATGGAACCTATCACAGTGAAATATTTGCTCCAGAGAAACAATACAGAAATAATCATGGTGTCATTAGCCCTACAGTTTGAAGATGAAGCCTGTAATTCTGTAAGAAAAGCTGATTGACCTTGAGTAGCTAGTGTCTTAATGTTCCTCAGGTGATTGTGAACTTCAATAAATTGGTTCACATAAAGCCTTTGCCCAGTGAATCTAGCTGAGAGAATAGTCATTAAATTTATAGTCTGAAACTACCTAGAGGAATTATTTGAGAAATTAGAATTAGTATTTTATATCTTTTTGGTGGTGATGGTAGTAAGAGGGCACACAGAGTCTCTGGCTAGTTTGGAACTCACTTTGATCCAGGCTAGTCTTCCCAGGAGCTAGGATGAGCCACTCTGGATAGGTCTAATCTTCCTGCTTTTTTTTTTAACCCTTTGGAGTTGAGGACCAAACCCAAGGCCTTGCATTTACTAGGCAAGCACTCCCACTGAGCTAAATCCCCAACCCCCGATCCCTAATATTCTAACCATAATGCTTTTTAAATTTCTGTATGTGTGAATCTGTCTTCTCACATGTCACCAGCCATTCTTCACCCCACATTTACCATCTGCCTCTCAGATAGATGCTAAATATAGAAGGCAGTATTTATCTGGAACTGTTCAAAGGAAAAATGTTTGACATGAGTGAAACACCTCTGATTAATGTCCTAAAGCTTAAGCTTTTAATTGTTTTGTCTTTAACAAAAAATTGCTTCAGTTTGGGGATGTGCTGTGATGAAGGGGGGCCTAGCATGTTGGAACCCCAGGTTCTGTCCTCAGCTCTGCCAAACAAAGCAACCTGCAAATGCACGTATGTCATAGTCCTCTTCCTTTTCAAACACAGATTATAAACAATAACAGTTTTCAGGGTCAGCTTTGTTCTGTATGTCTGTAAATAAATAGTTCTCTTTTCAGGTAACTGGCCTTTGTTTTTAATTCTGTGATTAAATCTTTTTACACACTTAACTACTTTAAAGTTTTTATGGCTAATCTATTCTGGATTTAGAAAGCAGATACTCAAGGTTGCTGAGAATTGTTCATGACAGTGATGAGGCTTGGTGTCACCTGGTGGGAGGGTGTCTGACTTGTTTACTGTCCAAGCTGTGTGTTGGGTACATTAATTAAGCAGTTAGTTCCAGGTTCTTTCTGAGTTTGCAACATGTTTGCAAATTTCTATAATTTTTCCCTTTATCTCTGTATCTACATGTTTGTGGAGTGTATGTAAGCAGGTGTGGAAGCCAGAGGCAAATATCAAGTGTCTTCCTCATTTGCTCTCCCCTTATTTTTTAAAGACAAGGTCTCTGCCTAGCTAGCCTGGCTGGCCAGCAGGCCCCAGAGATCCTCCCATCTCCTCTTCTCCAAGGTGCTTCTGTACCTGGCCTATTTTAACTAATTAAATATTTTTATTGATAAATTATTTTTGTTTCTAATTAACTTATTAATTTTTTGTTGTTTTGTTTTTAACATGGGTGCTGGCAATCATGCTGTTCTTCATGCTTGTTTGGCAAGCACTTTACCCTGAGCTGCCTCTCCAGCGCCATTCTTTGTTTTATTGAAACAGAACTCTGCAGCTCTTAAACTGACCTGGCACTCACTGGGTAAACCAGGCTGGTCTTGAATTTGTAGTGATCCTCTGTCTCTACTCCTTGAGTGCTAGGATTAATTGCCTATACCATCATTCTGGCTTAGTTTTTTTGTCATTGTTTTTATTGTTTGTTTATTGATTACTGTGCATGGTGAAGGGAGGGTGGCAGCCACATGCATCTGTCACAGTGCATTCGTGAAGGTCAGAGGACATCATGGTGTTGGTTCTCTTTTACTTTTATGTGGGTTTGGAGCATTGATCTCAGCTCACCAAGCTGGTGTAGCAAATATCTTTACCAGTTGAGCCATCTTACTGATCTAAGGTATAGCCTAGGCTAGTTTCTAACTCATTACCCTCCTGCCTCAGCCTCCAGCGTATCCTGCTGACCTGTGCCACCACAACCTGCCTATTGTTCTTTGTGGTTTTTCTCTTTGATGGTGTTGTTTTAAGTTTGCAATAAAAAAAAAAGTCAGATCTCTACATGGCTATACATAGTTTATTTCTTGGGTTCAAAACAAAACAGGAAACTTAATAGTATTTACCCCTGGGCAGAAATACTGAGAGCTATTAGATCTATTTTTGTTAGGATGCTGTTATTATTTGCTTTTGCAAGCTATTGGAGACTTGTTTCTGGCCTTTGTTGAAAGTGTGTAGAAGGTCTACCATCTTCTAAATTTTGTCATTAGGTATGTTGCTGTGCTTTATTTTTACCATTGCCTTTTCCTGCCTAGAGCATATATTTTTATATATAAGAAGAAATTTTGTTACTATTGCTGAGAAATGCAATCAGCAGTGTTTTCAAAAGTAGATATTCTTTGTACTTTACACTTATCTTAAAGACAGGCATTTGTCTTTTAATCAGCAATAAAATTAACTATAGTAGTGACTTCATTAACAGTTTAGGGTATGTGACTGCATAGAGCTTCTGACATGAGTGCACCCATCAGTAGCATCAGTCATAGGTAGACACTTGGGTCTTGCTTAAAACAATTAAATGATGGTGGATATTTCAGTATAAGTCTTTCTTGCCAACATTTTTACTAATTAACTTTTGATTTGTATCTTAACCTGCAATTTATGGAAAGCTTGTCTCTACAGATTAAGGTTTGATGTGTGTGTGTGTGTGTGTGTGTGTGTTTGGAATTTAAGAACGTAGAAGTGTCTCAGTAGTTAATAGAACAATACAAGTCAGAATATTGATGTGCCAGCCACTCATTTGGATGTTAGTCATTTGTGTAGAAAAATTGGTAGAAAAGTTGATAGCAATAGCTACTACCAGTGCTCGTTTGTGAAGTGCTCAACAACCCCACTTAAAAATTTAAAAACATTCTTGAGTAGCTCTCTGAAGTAGCTGTGTTACCCCCCTTTTTTATAATCGAGATAGTTGAGACTCAGAGAAATTGAGTATACCTAGCAGCAAGATGACTTAGCAGTATACCCCAGAACCCACCTGCAGCTAAGCTGTGCTGAGGCTTGCTTTGTTATGAGAGTCTTCATAAGGGCCTGGTATTGTGGAAAAGATGGCTGAGAGCTGGAAGGTGGGGGCTCAGTGGAGAGTGCTGGCCTGGCACATATGAGGGCCACGGCTTATTCTCCAGTTTAGGGTTTGTTGAATACCATTACAGTGTGTACATCTCATTGCAAATTTAGATCCACTTTTGTGGGTGGTTCCCGATAACAAGTTAAATTTTGGTGATTTTTTTATTGCCCCTCCCCCAGGAGAATCATTTGAAAAGCTACTAATGTCATTTTCTGTGTTTTCTTGTTTTATAAGTTTTGCTCCAATTCAGTATTTCATTTCAAAATTACAAAATAATTATTATACTTTTTATTCAGTGCTGAGTTGCATAACTGCTTCTCAATTTTCTGTCTTTATTCTACAGAATGATAAATACGGCTGGCTGTCTCTGGAAAGGCCACTGATCCGCCCCATGTAAAGTATGCTCAGTTCCTTTCCAGTGGTGTAAGTATCTTCTCAACTCTGTCGGTCGCTTTAGTAATGTGAGACTGTTAGGACTCTGACTCAGATTTGATAACAAGTGCTTTGAAATTCAAAAAATTCATTTAAATGACTTTTATTTCTTTATGTGTGGGCTTGGTTGTTCGGTTGCTTTGGCTTATATGTGGAGGTCAGGACAGGGTGGCAAAGGTGGTACGCTCCTTCTTCCATGTGGGGTCAAATGCAGGTTTAATGGCAAGCACTTTTACCCTCTGATCCACTTAGCCAGCGCAAGATCAAAAACATCTTTAGGAAATTATTCAAATGATATATGTCTTTGACATCAAGGTAAACAAGTGTAGTGATGTGGTGAGGAATGAGGTTTCAGGCCTGTGAGGTTTTTGTTTTGTTTTCCATTTTTACCATTTTTACTTTCAACATTGTATTTTAACCTTTTTTCATTTAAAGTTTTTTATTTATTATTTCCTTAAAAATCATTTTATTTTAATTATGTGCATATGTGGTTGCACATAAGTGAGTACAGGTGCCCAGGGAGGCCAGAGGCCTCCAGAACTGGAGTTCTGAGTGGTTGTTAGCTGTTCCATGTGAGTGCTAGGGACCAAGCTCAGGTCTTCTGTAAGAACAGGAAGTGCTCTTAGCTGCTGAGCCTCCTCTCCAGCCACATATCCATTACTTTTAACTGTTTAAAGCCTAGAAGCTGGTAAGGTCTGTGGTTAAGAGTTGGCAAGAGTGTAGAGAGGGAGGAGTGATGAGCAAAGGGGGTCAAAACCAGGCTGGAGAAACCCACAGAAACAGCTGACCTGAACAAGGGGGAGCTCACGGACTCCAGAATGACAGCCTGGAAACCAGCATAGGACTGAACCAGGCCCCATGAACATGGGTGTCAGTTAGGAGGCCTGGGCAATCTATGGGGCTGCTGGTACTGGAACAGTATTTATTCCTAGTGTACAAGTGGACATTGGGAGCCCGTTTGCCATAGAGGGATACTCTCTCAGCCTAGACACATGGGGGAGGGCCTAGGCACTGTCCCAAATGATGTGACAGACTTTGAAGATCCCCCATGGAAGGCCTCACCCTTTCTATGGAGCAGAAGGGAGATGGGGGTCACTGGCAGACATGGGAAGATGGGAGGGAAAGGGAACTGGATTGATATACAAAATAAGATTGTTTCTAATTCACATGATAAATAAATAAATAAATAAATAAATAAATAAATAAATAAATAAATAGTTGGTGAGAGCCCCAGTTGCATTCTTAGGAATAAGCAGAATATAAAATGCGTGTTCTCCTAATGCTTGATTTGAGTGCAAGCTCCTAAGGACATCATAGATGTTACCGCAGATGGTAACGTAGTTCTGCCTATTAGCTAATGTAGTTGCTAGCTGTTCTTTGGAGTCAAGGCAGAGAGATGCAAATGGAGATGGTGGTGTTGTGTTAAGAATGTTTTTGTGCTGGAATATGAACTGTAACCACCAGTTCATACAAAATAGGCCTTGAAATAAAAGTATTCCGGGAATTTCAGAAATTAGAGAAGATAAAGGGCCTATTAGCTCATTAAGTGCATCTTTAGCGTCTAGTGCAGAGTGCCTTGAGCCTAAGTAATTTCTAAAATTTGGTGGAGTCTGTTTCACTTAAATTCCTTCTGTTTTGGTTGGCAGTTCTATAATCTAATAGGTAGACATTTAGATTGGTTTTCTTTATTATTTAGGTTTTCCTTTGAAGCCCCCACCCGCCCCCTAGTGCACATACATTTATTCTGTGATTTAGTGCAGTCTCTGGAGGAGATCCAGATGATAGGGCTGTCGCCTGAGTTTCTGCTGAGCAGCTCTGCCCTAGGAAAGGCACTTTATCTTTGGGCCTTTGTCCTCCCCACCCTTTTGTTTGCCTGCCTGCCGCTTGCTTTGTCTTTTTCTATTTCTTTTCTTTTCCTTCCCACCCTTGTTTTTCGAGACTGGCAGCTCACTATTCTAAAATAGCCTGGAACTTGCTCTGTACCTCAGGTTGACCTTAAACTTACAAACTTCCTGCCTCATCCTCCTGAGTGGTGGGATTGTAGGTGTGCAACACCACATCTGGCTCTTTGACACTAGATTTTTACCTCTCTTGTCTATAAACTTGAATGTTTTTAGTTAGGTCTCTCTTGTATATTGTAAAAATAAAGAGATGACCAAAATAGAGTTTCACAGATTACACAATTCATTGGCATACAAAGAAACCCCTCTACTTAGGTTCACAGTTCTGTTTGGTTTTTTGAGACAGAGTCTTGTGTAGGCCAGACAGCTCTCAAACTTGCTACTTGGCCAATGGTAACCTTGAACTCCCAACCCCCCTGCCTCAGCACCTGGAAAGGATTATAGTTCTTGAGGAGTAGGTAAAATGTGAACAAACCTCAGAGGACTGTCCTTAATGTACAGTTATGGCACATCTTAACTGCACAGTGAGTTCCTAAATTATTGAAACTTAGTTGTTCAATAGTGTAGAACTGGTTTCTGTGGGAAGTAAGGTACTAGGTGTACCTTTACATGAGTGATAACATCATTTGATCTTCACAGTATAGGTCCCTGAAGTCACAAAGGACACGTAGAGATCACCTTGACTGATTGCTAAATGCTTATCCCCAAACATAACATCTATGTCATCCCCTCCAAGGCCTTCCAAGGCCCAGACATTGAAGAGAGGAAGTAGGACTGTGGGAACCACAGGATAGAGAGGAGTGTGGTGGGATGCTGTTCTCTGTGACATGAATGCAGTATACACATTATACACATTATTGTCACAATTTTTTAAGTAACTCATTCAACTAAAATAGAAAGCAAAACATTAAAGAATGTATTGCCAAGTGAAAACAGCAATGAGGGTTTTTGTTTTGTTTTGTTTTCTGTTTTTCTTTTTTTAAGTTTTTCTTATTTGCATTGGTGTTTTGCCTGTGTGAGAGTGTCAGATTTTGGAGTTATAGACAGTTGTTAGCTGCCCTGTGAGTGCTGGGAATTAAACTCGGTCCTCTGGAAGAGCAGTCAGTGCTCTTAACCACTGAGCCATCTCTCCAGCCCCCTTTCTTTCTTTCTTTCTTTCTTTCTTTCTTTCTTTCTTTCTTTCTTTCTTTCTTTCTTTCTTTCTTTCTTTCTTTCTCTCTTTCTTTCTTAGCATTTGATGCCTGAGGGCACTGCTGATACTAGCAAGAGAAACTGCAATGCCTTCAAAATGTCTGTCAAACTTAAAGTTTCTGAAGGCTAGTAGTTCTCAAGCGGATGGGTATTGACCCCGAATCATTATGTACAGGACTCTGATGAGATTTAATATTCTTTGGCCTATAATATTAGTAATCGGGACACAAAAGGAGTGTGTGTTCAAGACCAGCCTGAGCTATGTAGCAAGGGTCTGTCTCATGGTCTGTACTCATAAATTATTCTTAGACTTTGGTCATTTTACCTAATAATTTATAAAATCAATTTACTCTAAAGTCCAGTTCCCTGTAAAACATTATTTCTTACTCTTACATATCATTTTTAAGCCACTTCTTTGATGGTATTAATAACCAAGAAGGGATGATGTATATAAGTAATAAGAAGGGCTGGGATGTTTGACTCCTCCTACAGTGACCATACAAGGCAAATGATTCTTTCTGGTCATTCAGAACATGATAAAAACAACACAAATAATCTGGGAGAAAACTTTGTTTGCCAGAAAACCTTAACTGTTGTTGATGCCTTACAGTTCATGTAGTTTTTGCCCCTTTGGTGTCAGTGCTAATTAATCGTATCTGGATGCTTTAGCTAGACTCTTCTGCTCTCTGTCTTTGGAATATCATTTATAATGTTATATCCCAGGCCTTGTGGCTTATCTAGAAAATTTTTAGGTGTTACTGCAAAATATGGTTAATATCTCAAGATGTACTATGGTCTTACAGTATTAGCTTAGGAACTGAATTGTTCTTTTCTACTTTAATCTTTATCTATATTATTCAAGTGTCAAAATTGTTATATTATTTTCAGCTAGTGTTATCTGGAGCCTGCATTCAAATCAGTAATTTAAAGCAAAACTGCTCCATATCTTGTGAGTGATATTTGTGCATGAGGAAAATAATTTAGCCCCTCCATCTCATCTTCTTTTGTCCTGTAAGGATTGCTGGCATTATGCTCCTTGATGGCCCTTACAGGTCATTTGCTGCTGTTATTTTATGAAGCTGTCCTTTACACTCAGAAAATTATGAGAAGTACAAATAGAAAATGGGGTAACACATCCCGTCATGTGTATGGATACCCAGCATAGTGTACTCAATATCCACGAGAACTTCTAACATTTGTGTGTTTGTGTTTTCTTGGTCACACACTGTATTTTTAGTGTTGTGTGCACAATGTGACTCTGCTCAAGATGCCAGTACCCTTCTCTAAGTCACTCATTTGATCCTGGCAGCCATGATCTCTGCTGCAGGAGCTGCTCTGGGTACAAATTACAGACATCCATGTAAACACAGTGAAGTGTAAAGAGAAATTGTTTGTCCCATGAAACAAAAGGTGAGCAGGGTTTAAGGGGCTTAAGAATTACAGAGACAACAGGAGGATGCTTCAGGACTTTCCCCCCTTTCTTTGCATGTCTTGGTTACCTGCTTTATTCTCCCTGCAATTCCTGATGCACAAAAGACTTCCTATGGCTTAGGACAGTTAAACTTCCATCTTTTGATAGTCTAAGGAGAACATTTTGAAGAGAGCCAAGTTTTAATTCCTGTGGCAGCCTGTTCACCTGAAGCGCTGGCCCAAGAACACATGATTAGATTAGGTGTTCTGGCAATCAAAGTAATAGGGGACCCTGTTTCCTCCCTTTTGATACTGGAATAAAAATAGTTTTCTATTGTTAGTGGATCCTAAATGGATAAAATATTTCAGGTACTGTGAAATTTTATGCTAATAGTCAGTGTTTTGTCATATAGAGGTAGGCTTGAAGAACAGCACATGACTTATGATCTGCACTCAGTGAACAGGATAGGAAAATATGGTTGACTTTGCTGCATGTAGATAAAATAGTTCTTAAAGTTAGGCATCTAAGGGAAGAACAGCTTGCAAATTACTTTGATTGGATGAGGACTGAAAATACCAAAACAGGCCTTTTTTTTCAAGGGAAAGTAACTATGAAGATAAAAAAAAAATAATTATGAGGGGAAATTGGAATTTGCAAAGCCAGTAAATTCAGGGGTAAATTATTTTGGCTTGGCAACCATTAAAAAAAAAAAATGGAACCAGAGAGGTAGCTCAGTAAACAAGCAGAAAGAGCCAAAGAGCCAGGTTATGGTGGCTCACACCTTTAATCCCAGCACTTGGGTAGCATAGGCAGGTGGATTTCTGTGAATTTGAGACCAATGTGGTCTTCAGAGTTAGTTCCTGGACAGGCTCCAAACCAAAGCTACTGAGAAACCCTGTCTTAACAAACCAAAACAAACACAAACAAGAATGCGAACTATTCTTAAGAGGACCTGAGTTTTATTTTATGATAGGTCTCACTAAATAAGATGGCCTTGAACTTGGTCTGTTGCCCAGATGGGCTCTGAAAGTTATTATATTTGTGCCACCAGGGTGACCTTTTAAAAGGTACAAAATTATCCTTAGTTTCCTTAACAGTTCATAACATAACATTAAAACAAAACAAATCATATCTACTACAGAGACTTGCTATGAGGTGAGGCTATGTTATATGAAATTCTTGCCAAATTTCTTAGTAAAAGTGACTGTTCAATTGGATTTTTCTACAATACATGGGGGTGAAGAATAGTAAGTTCTCCAACATGTTTAGGGGACTGGCCTAGAGTACATTTTTCTTTAGTGGAGAAGGAAATTTCTTGACCTCTGTTTCTCTTAGCAGTTGTTTATTTGAGGATGTGGTGATATCTTGTTTATACTCTAACAAAGTTTGCCTGCAGATCAGAGGGCAGAGCTAGCTGCTGGTTAACTATAGAGGATTGGAGGTCTGTACAGACAGACAGGAAGTGATATGGCTGGGCTGAGAGAGGAATATGAGGTGGGAGGAGACAGGAACTCAGTCTCTTTCAGAGGAGGAGTTAGCAAGGTAAGGGTTGACTGTGGCTTGCTCTTTTCTCTCTCTGATCTTTCAGCATTAGCTCCCTGATCTTTTAGCATTTGCCCTGATATCTCATCTGGCTGTGGACTTTTATTATTAAGACCTATTTGAATTTGTGCTCCATGAGGGTTAATCCATGTCACATATGTCTGTCACTAGAGAATATAATTAAAATAGAGATGGTTATCACTTTCAGAAATCCTGAATTCAAAAGTCGGATTTTAGGGGCCAGAGAGATGACTCAGCAGGTGAGAGCACTTGATGTGTTTGCAGAAGACCCAGGTTGTGTTTTCAGCCCCCACAGGACAACTTACAAAGCTGTTTGACACTCCAGTTCCAGGACATCCACTGCCCTCTTCTGGCTGCTTCTGCACTGCTTGAATGTGGTGCCCATAGGTACATGCAGACTAACACTCAATACAAAATAATAAAGACAAATACGTACATTTTTAAATTTAAATTAGAAACAAGCTTGTTTTGCATGTCAATCCCAGTCCCCCCTCTCTCCCCTCCTCCCCTGCCCCCACATAAATCTTTTTTAAAGTCAGCTTTTATTAAAAAAAAAAAAGTAATTCAAGGAAAGAGCACTTTTATGATGTGGCTAATGTCTTAAACAAAACACTAAGTTTCTCTCTAAGAAAACATTTTCTAGTGTGTTCTAGTTAAGGTGGAAACATGTAGAACCAATTTTCAAGATACAGATAGCTCTAGTTGACTGGACACATGAGGGATCCATTCAGAGAGTATACCACAGAAATGAGACACTCACGAGACTGCTAAGAAGAAGAAACAGTGCTTGGTGTGTTGTTCTGAGTGCGGCTCTTACCCTCCACTTACGTATTTGAACTAGAGATGCGTAGTGGTGGCATATACCTTTAGTCCCAGCACTCAGGAAGCAGAGGCAGGCAGATCTCTGTGAATTCGAGGACAGCCTGGTCTACAAAGCTACAAAAAGAAACCCTGTCTCAAAGAAAAAAAAGAAAATTATTTATACTAGTTACTAGAATTCACTTAGACTCAGCCAAGCAAATATTTTTCAATATATGACCTAAGAGTTCTTTGTCAGTTTTACTGATATTTTGAAAAGCAAGATAAACTTTTTTTAGCAATTTTCTATTAATATGCTAGTATACAACAATATTTTCAAAATGAAAGAAATTGTACATTATCACATAGTCTGACCCTAATGCACTGTATGTACTTTACCTTATGAATTGGTACCTTGACATAATTAACATTTTGCTTCCAAATATTGGTTGGTTACCAAAACTGAAAAACATAAACTTTATCCCATTATAAGTTTGGTTTTATGTTATAACTGATGTACTCCTACTAAACTCAGAATCTGTACCAATCCAAGTCATAACAAAAAAGTCTTTTTCTTTTATTATTGTTGATGTGTGTTGTGTGTGTGTGTTACTAATATGTGTATGAATGCATATGGAGGCCAGAAATGGATATTGGGTGTCTTTATCAGTTGCTTTCCACCTTATTTTTTGAGACAGGGTGTCTCACTGAAACCACAGCTCACTGATTAGCTTTACTGACCCCAAAGATCTTGTGTCTACCTCTCCAATGCTAGAACTCCTGTCATGTGCTACTGCTCTCAGCTTTTGCATTAATGCAGGAGGTTGAACTTAGGTACCCCTGCTTGCACAACAAACATGTCACTTGACTGAGCTATCTCCCTATCCCACTGGTGCTGAGATCAAGCCTCTTCTGCTGAGGATTCTTGATGGTGAAATGTTTTTGTTAGTTGACAATAAAGGCACTTCATTTTTATCCTTTTCTCCCCCCCCCCCCCCCCAGTTTGCTGGAAACCATGTCTCACTATACAGATGAACCCAGATTTACCATAGAACAGATAGATCTGCTCCAACGTCTTCGGCGTACTGGGATGACCAAACATGAAATTCTCCATGCGTTAGAAACTTTGGACCGTCTTGATCAAGAGCATAGTGATAAGTTTGGAAGGAGGTCCAGCTACGGGGGGAAGCTCATATGGGAACAGTACCAACAATGTTCCAGCATCTTCCTCTACAGCCACAGCTTCCACGCAGACCCAGCACTCCGGAATGTCCCCATCACCCAGCAACAGTTATGATACCTCCCCACAGCCTTGCACTACCAATCAAAACGGGAGGGAGAACAGCGATCGATTGTCCACATCCAATGGGAAGATGTCGCCATCTCGCTACCATGTAAACAGCATGGGTCAGAGGTCATATAGCTTTGAAGCCTCAGAAGAGGACCTAGATGTAGATGATAAAGTGGAGGAATTAATGAGGTTAGTTGCTTTGCCTATTCTGAATTCCCCTAAAACATCCATGTTTTTAAGATTGTGTTTAAATAATAGCCTGTATTTCAGAAACTTACCGAAAAGAACAATGGCTTCCCCCTTCCTTCCTTGGAAATGAAAGTAAAACTTGGAATTGTGGTTTTAGATCATATTTTTTTTCTTCTCTACTTCAGCCATTTCGTTGTTTGATGAGACTTTTCTAGTCTCTTGATTTGTCAAGGGACTTTATCTATTTATGGCTTTAGCAGACAGTTTCTGACTGACCGAAGTTCATTTAATCCAATCCTTAACCCTTCATTGTAAATATTTTTTTCTGAGAGATAAGTTAAATTTATCATGATGTAGAATACATGCACTCTTCATTTTTCCTTGCATCATTTCAATCAGTTCAACAATTTGAGCAACTATCAGGTCAGAAATAATTTTCATAAGAAATATAGGTACCATCCTACCCCTAAAAGGCTGAAGTTCTAATTTTAGCAATAGATGCAACACCCACATGCACTCCATACCTCATCAGTTGCCAAGTAAGCATGTACACTTAGAGTTTAAACACAAAGAAAAAAGCCTACTTTCAACTAAGGTCATCACGACTTTGTAACAGACCTGGTTCACTGTGAGGGTAGCAGACGTGTTTTCCATGCTGTGTCCCAAACTAGGAACTTCCTTTAACACATAGTGTGGTCTCAGTATATTAGATGAGTAGATAAATTTGGCCTAAACCATAAGGGTATTCTGTTTTGAAATAAGGATTTGGAGCTGGTTCAGGGGACAATGGTGTTTGCTGCCAGACCAGAGGACATGAGTTCTATCCCTGGAACTCACATAGTGGAAGGAGAGAACCAGCTCCCCAAAGTTGTCCTTTGATTACAAGCATGCCATCACACTCCTGTACATGTATACATGCAGTCAATAAGAGAAATTTTTAATTTTTTAAAATAAAAATTGAAATACACATATTATATTTCTTAAGGAACCAGGAAAAGGTATCAAAAAAGGTATGTTTTTAATCTGGTTAAGAATATAAGATGAGTGTGGTCATTTATGCCTGTAACTCCAACATTTGGAAGGCCAAGGCAAGAAGATTACGGTGAGTTCAAGGCTAGCATAGTAACTTTTAGGCCTGTCTGACTTACAGAGCATGGATCTTTCCAACTAGCATCAAAAGAAAAACAATACAGATGAGGCATACCTTGGTAAACTGCACCACACATTTTCAGAGGCTTCACCTTCTACACTAAGTGGTTAGGATTAGGGCACTGTTACAGGTCTTTACAAACGGAAACAACAAATGCATTGTTTTTGGTATGGTTAGACTGTTGTATAAAAAATGATTGCTTTGGGCTGGAGAGATGGACTCATAGTTAAGAGCACTTGTTCTTGCAGAAAACCTGAGTTTGTTGCCCTGCACCCACTTGGTAGTTCACAACCATCCATACTTGTCATTCTGAGAGGTTCAAAACTCTCTTCTGGCCTCTGCAGGCCCCAGGCATGCATGTGGTACACACATGTACATGCAAGCAAAACACTCATGCATCTAAAATAATCTAAAATTTTTTATAAAGCTGAGAGGCTGCAGATAAATTAGTTACAGTTAATAATGAACAGAATTGTAGACTTGACAGAACCAAAAATAAAAGTTGTTTTAACTGGCCCTGAGGATTTTCTGACATCAAGACAGAATTACGGTGGTTTGACAGTGTTTTGTGAGCCACCATGTGGTTTCTGGGAATTGAACTCAGGACCCCTGGAAGAGGAGTCAGTGCTCTTAACCTCTGAGCCATCTCTCCAGCCCCTGACAGTGTTTTGTGGAGATCCATCCTGTGGCACCTCTAAGAGTTGAGGAGGCAGCCTTAAACACACAGCCTCTACTGAGTTTGTTTTCAGGGTTGAGTTGCCAAACATAAAATCCTTTGTTGCAGGTACTGTGGGGTACACGTAATGAAGAGTATCATACCTTAACCACAGTCTATGTTAACAAGCTTTTAGCACCCTGAAATGCAGATGATCAAGAGGCTTTGGTTTATCTTTGACTATTAACCGAGGTGCCCACATCTCAGCTATTGCTAGTGACTTTCTTAGTGCTGAAGACTGAACCCCGGGCTTTATTTTCCACTGAGTCTCATCCTTGGCCATAGATGGTTTGGTGAATTTAGCATCTATCATTGTTCATTTCAAAAAGGAAAACCATTTTGGCAAATAAGTTACTTTATTCATTGACGTTTCATAAGATTTTAATTATCCTGAATAGAGAAGATAGCAAAATATCATTTATTTGTTCAGGTGCTAGCTTGTTTTGTTTGTGCACATTCACTTGGATACAGCCTCACAGGTATAATGTGTGTTTCATTCGTGTGCTCTTAATTGTTGTATAGTTATTAGGACACTTTCTTCTTCCCTTCCTCTGCTTGCTCAGAATAGCTCCGGTGACATTTAGTTAGCTAGGGTCTTCTAGACCTCCGGTACCTCTGGTCCTCCACAATTGAGCTTTCTCACACTCCACCTTTGCTCGTGTGCGCCCCTTCTCACCCTTTTCAAGTTTGCAGAGAGCGATCCTTCTTAGGACACAGGGAGAAGTTGACTGAATGACTGCATACATGACGTTTGCAGTCCCAACAGCCATGCTGGGTCCTGATCAGTAAAACTGAGTTCATGAAAATTAGTAATTTGCTCAAGAAAGTTTGATTATTGAGCCTAAATTACATCCCATGTCTTTATTATCATTGTGTTTCTGGTACATTTTATTATTGATATTATTTTTGCTTATAGATTAAGTAAGACTTTAGGAAAGGTGATAAAATTCCACAAAAAAAAAATTGTGAATTGCCTTACTGGGCTTGCCCTTCTCCTTCCCTGACATGATATCTGCTACTTCAAATCACTTACTAAACAGTGAATTTTTATTGGTGAGATATTAGAGAAATTTTCAAACAGTAGCTCTTTCTGAGTATTCTGTATTTGTCTAGTGATATACTGTCCTTGCTGCTTATTCAACACTGGTGGCATGACAGTGACCTGGAATTGCTGGGCTCTAGTAGGAAGTGTGGATATCTGAGGGTCTTCCTGTCACGTGTGCTATGTGTCAAATCAACCTACTTGCGCACAGCTACAACCTGCAGGTGTTCCGCCCTAAGACATACTTTGCAGATTTTGTAATCCAGTGAATCCACATTACAGTATATTATTTGAAGGTTTATAATGGAGATTTCTATGTATGTGCAGCTTCCCCAGGTTATAACTGTACCTTTGATCATTTGTTAAAGAGTCAGAAATTATCTTTCTAGTTTTGATTGGGATCAGAAAAGGAAGAAGAAAGCCACACTACTTATGTAAATTCTCAGTAAAGGTTAAATGTGCCACTTTAGGAAGGACTGAAAGCCAACAGTGAAAGTCAACTCATTTTACATTGGATATCTTAAAAGGCCTATTAGTATGCAAGTATATGCATAGGAATGTGTGTCTGCATCTGCTAATACAATAGAATATAGCAGTGTTTTCCTGCGGTTATATATGTATATTATGAGATAATGTAAACAAGGCTTATTAGAATTAGTAATGCTGTACAATAAGCATGTTGTTCTACATCACCCATACACTATATTTTGTTAGTATTTTGTACAAAATTGTGCAAGCTCATTCCAAGTTGGTTATGTATATGCTTAAGACTAAAGCATCAATTGAGCATCCTTGAGCCATGGTGTATTAAAATTCAAAGCTTCTGAGCACTCTGTGTTGCAAGTGAAAAAATTCCATAATACAACACATTCCTCAGCAAAGAGTTATTTAAAATACTGTCCCAAGTTACATGTCTCTCTATAATTATGTAAAACATAATTGAACTTTGTGTTTATACTTGGGCTCTGCCCCTAAGGTATTCCATTATAAATATGAAAATAGTTCCAAATTTAAAAAAGAAAATCTGAAAAGGCTTCTGATCTGATATACCTCAGTGGGGGCTCTCAGCCTGTATTTACTTGTGAGGCAGGATGTTGGTGCTGTATAAGAATGTAACACCACTAAGTGGTGGTGCGCTCTCCCTCCATCTGCATATAGAACAGCTCTCCCTTTAATGTTCTCTCTTAAAGATGTGCTTTGTATCTGCACAGGGAGAAAGTCGTGAGTGTCTTTCAACTGTGAAATACACTGTGTTGGCTTTGTCTTGGGGTCACTTTGAGCTAGCTCCCTTTACAACATCCAGAAGAATACTAAGGGTGTGTTAACTTGGAGAGTATGAGTCATCTTAAAGCATGTCATTTTAAAATATGAGCCCTTTAATATGCTTTCTTCCAGAAAACAAATCAGTGTCATTTTGAGTCACCATGAATAACCTCTCCATCCTGATTTGGAAAACATAAACGTACTTGAAAATAAGAATTTAAAGCTGTTATACATATTTTTAGATGAGATTTTTTTATGTTACAGCCTTTAATCTTTAGAAATCTTTCATTAAACAGATTACTTATTATTATCTTTTTAAAAATCCATGCTGAATATGACAGGAGTTTTTGCTAAAGATCTTTCCAGGCTAGTAGGATAGATGGGCTATATATATAGAGCATTGTGTCCGTACTACAATTGAAATGTTAAGAGTTAGCTTTGTTAAGAAGTCTTTCTTTGTAAGCTATGATGATCAGAGAGAACTTCTCTAGATAGATGACAGTTACATCGTCTTTTTGAAAGGTAATCAGAAAGCCAGATGTGGTGGCACTCCTCTGGAATCCAACTCCTTGGGAGGTGAAGGCAGGAGACTTCTGTGAGTTCAAAACCAGCCTTGGCTACATAGCAAGTCCATGCTCAAAACAAAAAGCAAGGAGCATTAGAATCAGGACAGGGTGGTAGTGCCATTTAGTCCCGGCACTCCAGAGGCTGAGGTAGGAAAAGCTCTGGTTCAAAGTGATCCTGGATTAATGGCAAAGCCCCTGCCTCATAGTCTTTTTCTCGTGTACATACAAGTAATTTGTCAAAAGGGCATTCCTGGTGGACTCTTTCATATATATTAGGGAGGATGGTAGTGAAGAGTTAACTAGTTTTAAAAACAAAGGCCGTGGGCAGTGATGTCTAGAAAGGGAGTGCTCCATCCTTTTGAAGTCCACCAGATGAATACAGTGGCAGCAATTTGAAAACAGTAGCAGGAGGAAGTGGCATGCACTTCAAGTGCCTCGGTTGAGATCAAGTGGTTGCTTATGTTGGAAGTTAAAAGTGAACCCAGAGAAATATTGGCTTGCTTCTCATTTTAATACATTAGGTCTTCAGAAGGGGACAGTCTTGAGGCATGTGACTTATTGTGGTGGAGTAGAAGAAGGGACTCGGTTCTCTTTAGGCAAAATCTCAAATTTTCAACAAAGGGAGGAAATACTGAATAGAATATGAGAGAGTCAGATTTGTGTTAGTGATATTTCACACTAAAACGTAGGTGGCTCCACAAGTAAAATGCAGTTACAGGAGAGGATGCAGAAGACAAAGAGCCAGATCAGCCCTGCAGAATGAACTGGAGAGTGAAGGCAGATGGCGTTGCTGCTTTTGCAGATAGCTAGTGAACCCAAGCAAGCAGGCATTCTTCTCCAGTGCCTGAGAACACTTTGTCCATGATGCTTTGAAGTCCCTGGTCTAAGGTGGTCACTTCAGACTGACAGTTACAACTCATCAATTGTTTCTGCTCTTCTTTGGATCCTGTCTGATTGCTTTATGGAATTAATAGTTTGTGTCTATAGGATACATTTACAATTTCAAAACCACTTCAAAGAAATGTCTTTTGCATATGTTATATGCATGTTTGTGTATGTGTTTATATCATTTAGCGGCTTAGAGGAACATTTTAAAAGCTTTTTACCTTTTTGTTGTCAGTGCTAGAGACTAAACACAGGATCTTGTGCATGCTGACACAGCATACTGCCACAAACTATATCTATGATCTCTTATAACCCTTTGAAATTTGGGAATAAGAGGGGGGCCAACAGGAATGGAGAAGAGGAGAGGGAAGGAACCAACAGGAGTAGAGAAGGGGAGAGGGGAAAGACCAGCAGGAGTAGAGAAGGGTAGAGGGAGGGAACCAGCAGGAGTGGAGAAGGTATGGGGGTGAGGGGTCATGGCAGCTAAGTGACTGAATCAAAGTCCATTATACACATGTGTGGTAATGCCATAGTGAGACCCATTATTCTACATAATTAATGCACAGTAACTATAGAAATGAAAACCTTTGGAAGGAGTATGTTAATGTTCTTGTTTTTTAGCAAATGGTGAAACCAGAGCACAACTTTATTAAATGGCTTTCTCTCACATGTTTTTGTCTTTTAAGGAGTGGAGGGGTTGAAGATTGAGACCTGGGGGTTTTTTGATGCTAGCCAGAAATTTAGGATTTTAGCCACATCTCAGTCTCCCCCTTCCCCCAAGAGAGTCTATGGTAAAGCAGTGAAGAATGTGTGTTTAAACTTACTGTGGATACTTTAGAGACCTGCATAATGTATAAAAATATATTCTTGGAGGTGGTGAGTGGGTTGTTGTTTTCTAAACATTGGGGACTCCTCCTGTCTAGCTGCACTCCCTTAATAATGCCATACTGCAAGGTTGTGATTAATTCACAGACTGGTGACATAGTTGGGTATTATCTGTTCTGTATGATTTGATGTCTCCTCTTGGTGCATTTGATTGAAAATGAATTGGTTTGAATTATTTTAAATTATTAGTCAAGAAAATACCATTTGTTCATTTTGCCTACAAAAGAACATTTTTAGATTTAATCTGAACAATTTTCCTCAAATATAGTTTCATTTTCCAAGATCATTTAGTATGTTGAAATACAGTAGTTTATATAAAAATTTCAACTTAATTTTGTAGTTATGTCAGAACTTGCTTTGTGTGTGTATAAAAGCCATATGAAATAGCTACTATAAAAGTTGTCTCTTGCTTATAATTGGTATAGAGACAGGCATTTTGAGAGAATTTTAGTCAACATGTAGATTGTAATCTAAGTTTGAGAAATTGCAAATATTGCATTAGACAGCTAAATTTTTGTTTTCTTCTTACTGCTTGATTAGGATTTCCAGTCAGTAACTCAGGGATATTGTAGAGCTATATATTAGATGCTCACTATTCCATCTCTGCTCTTTTCCAAAATTCCCCATAGCAGGGACATAGCCCAGACAAGTGCTGTGCCTGCTGCACAGGAATGAGGAACTAAGTTCATTTCTTGGGCATCCAGAAAAAAGTCAGGCAATGCTGGCATGTGCCTTTACCCTGCGGGGATCCCTGCAGCTCATAGGCTAGGCAGTCAAGCAAACTGGTGAGCTCTGGGCTCAGAGACAAACAGGGACACTCACGTGTACACAAGCTACATTCACAGGTACAATTCCACAGGGAACATGGCACCCCCCAACAGAGTGCATCCCTTCCAGGTAAGGGAGCTGAAAGACTTGTCTAAATTAAATGGCAGGTTAGTATCATCTTCTGATAGGATACTTTTGTTTCTTCTCCAATCTACAGGGAGACTTGAGCCTCTATGAAATTTGTGGCTTGTTCACAAAACAGTCTTTAAAGATTTGCAATGCCTTTGTCTTAGATCAAGGGTCAACGGTTTTATTGTAAATAACTAGTGCTTAACATTTTAGACTTTGCCAAGAGACAAATTTGAGGGTATAATATAGTCTATACAAGAGAGAAAGCCGAGAATGGCAGCACACAGGTACAATCCCAGCGCTCAAGGCCAGCATGAACTAATAGACTGTGTCTCAGAAAACTAAAATGAGAGAGAGAGAGAAATGACCACAGCTTTTCTCCTAGCATCAAGAGACTGAGATGGGAGGATGGCTTCAGTTTGAACACCACTTGGACTAAATCGTTTTAGGCTAGCCTAGCAAGTGAGTCCCAGTCAGGCAGTGGTGCACGCATTTAATCCCAGCACTCAGGAGACAGAGGCAGGAGGATAGTTCAAAGCCAGCCTGGTCTACAGCGTGAGTTCCAGGACAGCCAAGACTATACAGAGAAACCCTCACTCAGAAAGGGAGGGAGCGAGGGAGGGAGGGAGGAAGGGTGGGAGGGAGGGAAGGGAGGGAGGGAGGGAGGGAGGGAGGGAGGGAGGGAAGGAAGGAAGGAAGGAAGGAAGGAAGGAAGGAAGGAAGGAAGGAAGGAAGGAGAAAGAAAAGATTGAGTCCCTGCCTCAAAAAAATTTTTTTTAAATTCAATTGGAGTTATAATAATTGTATATAGTTTGGGGGTGGGGGTTAAGCCTGATTTGTATCTATTTGCAAAGGTCCATCTGAGAAAGATTATTAGTTTGTGGTTTATGTGAGAGCAGATGGCGGTTTACTTGAGCTGAAGCCCTTAATCTGTTGACCTTGTTTAGATAATAAGCTACCATGGTTCTGTGTCGGTTTTCATCTTGAACAAGAAATAGTATTCTGGTTTTATAGGCTTTAAGCTCCAATTTAACCTTTATTGTTTGTTTGTTTTGGTGAAAGAATATTCTTTGTCATTCTTAAGGATATCTGGTCTATGAAAACTTGCTGACTTTTTAAATAAAGTTTGTAATGGACCAAGAGTATATAATACCAAGGTTGAATAGTGTAGTTTTTATTATTAACTATTCTGTGTACCTATTATATGTAATGGGAAATTAATAAATACTTTTAATATGAAGCTGTTAATATTTCAAACCATCCCACATTCTTTGTGGGGAAGACTTATACAGAAGGGAGGGAGAGGAAACAGCTAAGGGTGTTTCTTACAATGCTAATATTTTCAGTTGTGGGAATGGTATTGATTTCTGCCCCTGAAGCATTTCCAAGGTTTTAGGATGAGTGTCAGTCACTTCTACAGTTCCTCCATTAACCTGCAAACCCACAATCTGTTTACAGCTGATTTTCATTGCTGTTGCTTTTTATTTTTCCAGGCCTTCTATGTACGATTTTTTCCCCAATAATGAGACCATACGTACCGTATGTGGCAGCCTTGTTCCTAATTTAAATTATACACAGCATGCAATTAATGGTCCTCCCACATGAGACTTGTATCCACAGTGGCATTCACTGAGGTGTCTGTCTGGTGGTGTTACGTTTCAGGACTGGAGTATTTGGTGTTTCTTGGTTTGTTGTAATTTCATATTTTCACCCAAGTTTAGTCTGTTTCCCTTTTATTTTTGTGTCCTTCCTTTCTGTGTTCTCCCCACCTCTCTGCTTCACCTTTCTTTTAGCAAAGATGAGGATTTCTACCTTCAACATACATTGTTGGTCTTGTCTTCTGTTTTTGTTAGGAGGGACAGCAGTGTGATAAAAGAGGAAATCAAAGCCTTTCTTGCCAATCGGAGGATTTCCCAAGCAGTTGTTGCACAGGTAACAGGTAAGAGCCGGAGAGCCCTTTATTCTAGAATCATGTCTCGTCTCTGCCATCTGTGCAGGTGTTGGAATGTCGCTTACATTTCCATGCTGCAGCCCTGTCAGCTTGGGCATGGTGACGGAAGTCTGGAACTTAAACCAGTGCCTCCGAGATCAGGGACATGCTCCAGTGCTTTTTTTTTTTTTTTAAACTTGTGTTAGTAAGTTTTGTAACATTAGTAATAAGAAAACAAATCCCTATTTTATACTTGAAAGGGGAAGTTGTTTCCTTATGATCATGATAACGCCCGTGACACAAGCACATCAGCTGCTGTCGGTTCCTTATTTTTAAAAGCTTTGCCGTCCTCTAAATCAAATCTAGGAGTTTACCAGTAAAAAGTAACTCATGAGGAAATAGCAAGTTGTGGGAGTCTTTGTTTTCCTTTTTTGTTTTGGGGATTTGTTGTTGTTGGAGCTGTGGTTTTGTTGTCTGTTTTTGTTTTTTCTTGAGACAGGGTGGCATGTGGTTAAGGCTGGTCTCAAACTCACTCTGTGACTGATAATGACCTTGACCTCCTGATCCTCTTGCAGCCACCTAAGAAGCGCGGGATATATGCACCACCATCCCCTACAGATGTCTTTTGAGTGTCTTTTGAGTGACCTTTTCTGTGTATGAAAGCTTTCTTCACGCCCTCCCGAGAAGATGAGAGTCACCGTTGTCTTTTTGTTGTTGTTGTTTATATCGCATCCCATTCTCCAACCCAGACCTCACCCTGACATGTGGTGTATATGTGTCATTCTCTATCCAGATTACATTTTAAAAATGGAACTCTTGAATCTGGGTGTAGACGTGTCGTCACTGTTGGTGTGTGCTCTTCCTTAGCTCTAAAGTTCTCAGAGGAACCAGAAGTTCTTCCAGTACATCTACATTGCTGTGTTGTTACACTGTCTGCACTGACAGTTACAGTCATTATCACCACCACCCCTTTTTGCACATGGCTGCAAATTTATGCCTTGGGTCTTCTCAGGCCTCTACCTCAGTTTTCATACTTTGTGGTTACAGGTTGGTATCTGGGTTCCTCGAGCTCTGATGTTCCTTTTGTGGTGGAAATGCTGGTACACACTGAAGCAAATGTTCTTAAGAGGTTATTCCTACTCATTAACTGGATTAAAATGTAACTTCAGAGCTAAAAGTATTAAATTTCATTCCTAATACCTAATGTCTGCCAATCCTTTCTGATATGTATATGTACATGCCGGTGTATATATTTTACCAGTAATATACTTTTATAAACAATGTCTTTGTTACTGGTAAAAGACTTTTAAACACATCCTTCTGTGTAGAAGTTAATGGTAAAGAAAGGTGTGTGAATTTAAGTCTTTAGGTATTTGTTAGTAGGATGTATAAGATAAATTATTAATCTTTGTCTTTAAAAAACTAAGTTGCAGTGCTTAACGCACTATGAGGGCAAGTTGTGTAGATGTTACTGAAACTCATGATGTGGTAGATTATACCGTGATGGGATGTTGTGTTTTTGTACCTTTACTTTAGCACTTAGGGCTATAAGGAATATATGTTCTGGTTTGTAAGTGGGGGTGGGGGCAGACAAATTTGTAACATGATAAAATTGCAAGGCTGATTTTGTTCAGAAGAGAATATTTCTGAGTATTGAATGTACTGACTCTTGAATCTTAGGCACATGCATGTGTGCATGCGTGTAGGACAGAAGACAGCTTGAGGAAATCTCTCCTTCTAACATGTGAGTCTTGGAATCAAACTTACCTTGTCAGGCTTTGTGACCATTTCCCTTACTCTCTGAGCCAGTCTTGTCTTAGACTGGTAAAATAGTAGCTTTGTATGAGTGTCCAACATGATTGCAAATCATAGAAAGATGCTCTTAATCGTCTTTCTTATGCCAGATGTGGTGGCATATCTAAAAGCATTGTACCATAGTCAGTTAAACATAGTACATCAAATATTTCCATTTTGGAAAAGGAAACTGGGAAATGTTTTTACATCTTGCTATTCAAAATCTAGTCCAGGAAACAGCAGTTTTGGGCATTAGTTGAAAACTTGTAGGAATATATGGTATCATCTCTAAATCTGTGAAGTAGAATTTACATTTCAGCTAGATCCCCTGGGTAATTTGAGAAGGTTTGAGAAGGACTGTTCTAGGAAATTGGTAAACTTTCCAAACAGTAATACCAGTTGGTAGGCATTGGTTATCATTGCTTCACTCAGTAGTATCATCCTCCATTTGGGAAAGGAAAAGCTGAGATACACTTAGACATTTGTTACCTGTTGTACACATGGCCCTCCTTTCACCACCATAACGATGGGATATTGTTAAAAATATCTTCCCCATCTCAGTTTCACCTCAGAGAGGTTCCTTTCTATGAACCTACATTGGCCCTTCATTGTCTAAAACAAGAAATTAAAACAAAACAAAACATTTTTCATGTGTTCGTGCTTACTTGTCACACTGCGTGTTTTGGGGTGAGGGTTTCTTTTTCTTTCTATCATGTGTGTTCCAAGGATTTAATTTGGATCATAAGCCTTGGCAACAAGCACGTTTATTCACTGAGCCATCCTGTCAGCCCAGGAAATTCTTATAATTCAGCCCTCACTCCATTTTTATTGCCATCTTATGTTATGTATATACACAGATGAATTTAACTGCTTGTAGTTTTGAGAGTCCTGATCATTTGCATGCTCCCAAATTCTGGGTTTACCAGGATGCCTTTACTTCCTCAGCATAGCTCTATCCGACCCTACTAACCACACCTCACTGTTAGCACTTGCATTGGCTCAGTGACTGTCCTTAGGTTTAATCCTCACTTGAGTGATGCCATTTCTTCAGAGGGTCTGTCAGTGTCCCGATACTCAACATTTCACACCCACCTCGCTGCCTGGTAGAACTCGTTGAGGCTTAGAGGAACGGCTGTGTTTAGCTCAAACCACATGCCGAAAGGTTCGCAGAGACACTGTTTTGGGGATAATTGCTTGCTCAACAGTCCTCTACATTTTGTGTGTAGGAAAGTTTCAGGGTTTTTTGTTTGTTTATCTTGTTTTAATCTACAGAGTAGGAAAATGAGGAAATTAATAAGCAGGTTAATTTATTATTCATCTATTGGCCAACTCACTGAGTTGTGTTTCTCGTGAAATTATGAATTAATCACATTTGTGTCTCAGCCTGTCCAGCCAGGAAACTAACAGAAACAGCACTTCTCATGTCTGGGAAGAACAATAAATTAGTGAAGCCCTCATGATTGCCCCACTTAGGGTCGGGTGAACATGGGTTGGGAAGCCTTCCCATCCCTGGAATATCTAATCTGGCCATTACCTACACACGGTCTTCTGTCATTTTATAGCAGATTCTCTGAAAGTCGTTTGAGTTCAACTCAAATATGTGAAGCCAACCATAAGATAAAATTCAGAGCGGATGGTACCTAACAACAGAAAATGCTAAATAAAAAAGTGTAGCAAGGTGCAAAATTCCAACACGTGTGCTGTTCCAGAAGCAAATGCAGAGGCTGCTTTTTATAGATTCGGAGGGCTTCTATAATAAGATAAACAAGAAGTGCAGGGGTGGGGTCTGTATAAATAATATCCTGCTGATAGGAGAAATGACAGTGTAAACAGGATATAATAACAGTGCCTGCCGAATTCCCAGCATGTTATTTGTAGATTCCGTCACAGTCACAGCTGCTCCCACCATGGGTGGATTCTTACCTCTGGGAGAGGTCGGCCAAGATTCTAGCTTCTAACTAACAATGATAGGGTGGTGAGCATAGCCTTGGCTTTGGTAATAAACACATTCATTTTATATTCACTGTCAGTAAAATGTTCTCTTAGGCTGCTTAAGAATTCTTAAAGAAAACAAAAAATTTGATGACCTCTGGGGGAAAACCAGGCACACACAGAATAAATGAGTAAATATACAAAGGTTGATGGATGCTCATCAGCTGAAGAGATATTCTAATTGGTGTCATGTCTTCTGAGAAAAAAACGAACACATGGGAGAAGAAAAGAGTTAGTGTCTCTGAATTCTCACAACAGTTATGTTGAGTTTTTGAGGTACAGTGAAAAATGAACAGACACTGAGTTCCTTCTTTGTGTCATTTAATCATCTTGTGACCCACAGCCTCATTTTCCTTACTTACATGATGTGGGACTTTGACCAAATAATTGTCCTCTTAGTCCTTGTAATGAAATAGCATAAACTGGGTATTGTACAAACACAGAAATGTATTTCTCATGGTTCTGGTAACCAGGAAATCCTTAGCTAAGGCAGGTTCCATGCCTGGGGACTGCCTTCTTTTCTGGCTCATACACTGTTCCTCTTGCTGTGTCTTCTTATGGTGGTGAAGGTCTGCCCATGTGACTTAGTCAGCCCCCCAAAAGCCCCCACATGTGAGCATCATCACCGTAAAGGCAAAGGCCTCAATAAAAGACTTGGGATGGGCATAGACTTTCACACTATAGCAGCTTTACGTCCCCTAGTTGTCCAGTTCTAGTCTGCATTTAAACTACAAGCACATTTGGCACTTGTATCTAATTGAATCTAGCAATTTCATTTCCAGCTATATTCAAATCACTTCCTTTGTTATTGAATGAAAATAGTGTATACGTTAACTATTTTGTAATTGCAAAAAAAATTGTATTGCTCTTTTTCTTAATCATAAGACTTTGGACCAAGTGTTATAAACCAACTAAGATACCAGTTTACTTTTTAAAAACTAAACTTTATTCTCTAGAGCAGTTTTTAGTTCACAACATGATTGAGCAAAACGTTGAGAGACTTTTAAAATATCCCATGGTCCACCATGCGTACCTAGTCTCCTCCACTGTTACTGCCCACAGTCAGTGAACCTGTGCTGTTATGTCATATGTTAATAACTAGCACCCCTGATTGATGGTAGATTCATCTCCTCTTGGTATTGTACTTGCCATGGGGTTTTGACAAAGGTCAACAACATATGTCCACAATTAAAATACCACACAAGATGATTTCACAGGCCTCA